ATCACATATATATATATATCACATGAATATATATATCACATGAATATCACATGAATAACAGCCCGAAAATAATGCTGGATTTGGGTATTATTGCAGCTTAAAAATGTCTCTTTCCCAATGTAAGTCAACGGGAAAAGGTCTTTTTGGGCCCATTACTTGACAGACACCCAAGACTGCATTCACATCAAACCAGATGTTGCGGCAACAACGCCATTCCTCCCATTTATTTAAATCTGCGTAATGTGTTTAAGCTGCGGCGGTGGGGACGCAGATGATGCCGACAACAACTCAGCGGCCTGCGGCAAAAAGTCGAAACAGAATCAACTTTTGGAGAAACACAACCCAAAGTCAGGGTGCATGAGGGATGGGAATCACAGAGTAACTGGTAAAATAATACAATGTGAATGGCACTAGATGAAGAAATTGAATGTATCCTCTAGGGTTCGGAATATCTGTAGCAAAATTCACAGCAATAAATCCAGTTGTTGAGATATAATAGTCGAGATCCAACCATGACCTACCAACATTGCCTTCCCTAGAGCCACGCTGGTATCGTTGCACCATTTAGAGCAATCACTGCGGAGTCCTGTGAACTCTCGGCGCCAATCTTAGCCACAACAACGGTCTATTCTACTGTAGTTTTCTCCCTCAACACATACATGTTAATTACCCAGAGCCATTCATTTCTCTGACACCCGGAAGGCGTAAGAAACTTAACTTGTGCAGTTCTTTTACATGGAAGTGTTATTTGATAACACACGGGAAACTAGCTGACTCGGCGGTCTGAGAATAGTGAGGTGGTTCTTACAGGCTGTGACTTCAAATGCAGGCTCTCAATAGACTATGATTAAAAAGTTTTACTCATGAATACAATTGAAAGACGGCGTATAGTTGTTAAATTGGTTGCAGTGACAAAAACAGGCCATGTCACCTCAGCCTCATTTGTAGTCAGAAAAGTCCTCCATGTGGCTTTAAAGTCGTCTTTGAGTGTGCACTCAAAGCCCCCCCCCTCCCTCAGAACGACTTTATATTTACATTCTCAGTACACACTGCCTGGTTGCACGAGGCAGACTGAGGTGACGTAATGACTGCATCAATCCCCAACAGCAGACACTACCTCACTAGAGGGAAGGCTGCCGGAGAGCTGTGCCTCAAGTGCTCACGGCTGTGACTTAAACTCTCCTTGCGTTCCCTTCAGGACATTATATGCCTTTATTGGGGAGCAGAAGAACCCATATCAACCTATTGGAAAAAGATCCTTTGCATTCAGCCTCGGAAAGGTTAATCAGCCTGTTTCACCAACGGTAACGATAGGAGCGTGTGCATTGTATCGTTGACTCCACTGTACAACACCGACAGTGTGCAGTTAACCTTTAGATTGTCCTTAACTAATGCCAGGATAATGTTATGATTATTATTTATGATTAGGATTAGTATGTGTTATGGCACATTACTGCACATCTGATAGCAACAACACAACAAAAAAAAGTCATGCTGACAAAGCCAGACAAAAGACAGAAATGTCTCTTCTAATTTGGTTGAAAATCAAATTTCATGCAGTTTCTCAATCATACAATATGAAGATAAATAGTATTTTCTTGCTTTATCTTTACTGCAAAGAACTCAGCTGACCTGAGTTTAGTAAACGAGAGACAAAACTAAAAGCATGATTTGTCATTTTGAGAAAAAGCAAATGCATATTTCACATTTGTTTGTGGGGAGACAGAAGTATTGGACAGTGAAATTAAGGAGTGGGGGAGGGGATTGTGATAAAAACTTTAATAGAAAATCAATAAAGCGCAAAATAAAGCTGGGTATTAGTGCTGAAGTTGAGTGGTGACTGAGGAGGAGGGCCTGTCCTGCCAAACTACAGGGTCACCTTGGTGACGGAAGACGGAAAAGTGACCTTGTGTGTGTGTGTGTGTGTGTGTGTGTGTGTGTGTGTGTGTGTGCTTCAGAGTGCTGCTTCATGTACAGCGGATAGACGGCAGTCACTTTGTCTGGGGTACAGAGGTGCTCTTGGCAGCTTGCGTCACCCCGTCTGTCTCCACCTGCGTGACTCTACAACACCACCCGAGGTGCCCGGCTGCCGCGGAGCTTCAACCTCCATCTGTGACCTGATCAAGTCACCCGTGGGTGGGAGGGGTTAACGTCATCCTCGTCACCGTTTGACCTTGTCTGATCGAACGCTCCACCTCACAGTGACCCTCGCGCTCATGCACTGTGGGAAGTAACGCACTGAACTTCAGGTCCCACTGCATTCGAGTGCATGCGCCAAGAAGGTTCTGGTGGCTTTATGAAATCTTTGGCCGGATAGTGAATTCTCATTCGAGTCCTTCTCTTGCTGAGTCGGCTGACTTTCTGCTGACTCCCTCAAAATACACGAAGCCCATGGAAACAAGACAAGGCTCTTCGAAATATTTTTTATGCTCATTTTGATAATACAGTCATTGAAGATTTTTTTTCAGACTGTGTGTTTTTATGTCTTTTGTAATGTGGGGGAGTCACATGACCTGCACTTCAGACTGAGGCCACTACCCTGTACAGCCCAGAGAGTTAGTTGACTGCAACTAAGCTTTGTTTTCATAATCAATGCTTTTCTTTTAGCTGATCATCTATTTAAGGAACCTAAATAAACAGAAAAATATACATTTATTCAGGAAAAAAAACACTGCACCAAAGATTATGATATTTAAATCTCCCCTTTAATTTCTTCCCCGTATTTTGAATCCTGCTTTTTTATGTTTAACTATTTTAACGGTCAACTACTGTATATTTGAAGGGATGAATCCACACAAGCTAATTAACATAAATAAATGCACGGAGACAATCAGTCGGCGTTTACTCCTCCAGCTCAAACACTTTCCAGATGTTCCAGACTGGACGTCTGTAACAGCACGTGTGATGTTATCCGACCATGCAGGGCGGCAAAATCAACACGCGAGACCTGTCCAAGTCTATTTGGCATCAACTCCGAGACAGCCGCCACGATTAAGAGCCCACTGTCTCCGTTCACACTCTGCCACCAAACTTTCACGGCAATTTGTTCTCGACTTTCCAAATAATTAAAAGCAACATCTCTTTTGACAGGTAGTAACCGGCGTGAGATCCTGTGTGTGCCGCTGCTATCTGAGAGGAGGCCTCTTCCTGCTGGCCTTTTAGTGAGCCTGCTGATTGCTTTGCATTTCCACTGACGTCCCACATCACTGCATCCATAAACAGACGCGGCAGTGAGCAGCAAGAAAAGCATTGTATTTGATCATCTTCTGCACCCTTGATCCTGATAAAGTGGCTCAACTGGTGTGTGTTTGAGAAGGAGCAGTGAAGGTGTGACAATGTCCATGAATTAGAAATAGAAGTGTACGTCTGCACTGCAGCTGAAGGAAATGTCCTGATCTTAAAAAGTGAATTCACCAAGAAGCTCTTAAACAATACAATTAGATTGAACTGCCGGATGTCTGATGGCTCTTTTCAAAGAAAAAGGAGAGCGAATGGCCTTATGCTCTGGCAGGATGGTGTGTGAAACCATTAAAGGAATAGCACTACAGGGGGGGTGCCTCTCCCTAGTGATGTTTTCTTATTGTCAGGAGCTAGGAGAGTTTGTTCTCACCATCGTGTACAATCATTACGGTATTAAACTGTCAAAAAAGCTTTTAAGGAGCTTTAATTAGGCAATCAAAGATGAGCACAGAGCATTATCACTTGCCTCGTTGCAATCCTAAGGTGTGTGCAGACTGTTTGTATTATTACTGCGAGGTCAGCAAGCTCCTGTTTTTACAAAGCCGTGGTTAGATATTCACATATTGTGATTTTAGCAAATATTGAAATTCTTCCTTCAAAGCAAGGTATTGCAGTATATTTAAAGTTTAGGGGTAATAAATGTCACTGACCATGTTCTCCACACGAAGTTCGTAAGGCATGGGGTTGTAGACCATGAGCTGTACTTCACAAACATCTCCTTGAACCCACTGGAAGTCTAGTAAGAGAAGAAGAGACAAGAACACATTCAAATAAGATGTCGATGGTATAAAACATACTCGGAATTAATCAGCTGAGGAAAATACACCATTAGGCTACATTGCTATCACAGATCAAAGGCAACAGTCAGTCCTAGATGATGTCATTCTTTTGCCTTTCAAAATAACATTTTTCCTGATTAATTTAGAACCAAACTGAACAATCAGTGAATGTTCAATACAGTTTTTATGACGCTTTGGTAAAGCTGAACCTGTAGCTTCTTAAAAGCAATCATGTGACATCTTGGGAAATACGCTCATTTGCTTCCAAGCCGCTACTTGGATGTGAAGCTCGATACCACCCTCATATTTTGTGTTCAATAGAAGGCTACAGCCGCCGGCCAGTTAGCTTAGCTTAGCATAAAGACCGGAAGCAGGGAAGAGCAACAAACCAAGCTCTGTTTAATGTTTTGAACCCCTACATTTTACTAAGGTTATATCTTGTTCATTTCATCAAATGCAAACCGAAATGTAAAATTAACAATTTCTAATTTCAGGTTTCGTATGTGCAAAACTAAGCTTTTAACCCGCTGACTCCAGCTTCATGATTAGCATACAGACATGAGACATAAGAGCAGTATCTATTGTTCCCCGGTAGACTCTCAGCGAGAAAGCCATTAAGCGTATTTCCCAAATGTCCAACTGGAAACTCAAAAGACTGGAAACAGGGGTAAAGAGCTGGTCTCTGTCCAAAAGAAACAAATCCACCTACCTACTAATAAGTGACATTGCGGTTTATGGTCAGCGTCCTAATCCCTACACCATAGGGGTGTTCTACAGCGAACTATTTCTTGGCCCAGAGCAGTAACTTCCTGGAGTCCAGCCGTCGCGGTCCGACAACCAGCTGAGACTCCAGGAGGTTACCGTGCACTGCCAAGAAAGAGTCTGGCACAAAACTTCACATAGAACCACAACCTGTCGTTTTAACGCTTTCATACGGATTGCACACTGCACAGTAGTTTCTATACCACACTATATGTATACACTAATGTGTGCTACCGGCGCCAACATACCGATGACGTTGCAATACAGTCCAACAAAAGTTGAGCCAAGACGTTGTTTTTTGTCTCGCAGGGCAGAATCAGAACAAATTCCTGCAGCCAAGTTCCAAACTATGCAAACAGCTTTCTGAGAAGAGTGGAGGCCTCTATAGCAGCATATTAACGCCCATTCAGTCATCACATATGGGTGTATAGTACTGATGAACGTTGGGCCATGTAGTTGTAGATTGTATGAGGTCCAAACAACCTTTGAGAAAAAATGGATTTTAGAAAAAGCTTTTAGAAAGAAAGGGAGATGATAGCCCTGCACTGCAGTGTCCATCATTCCTGAATGAGATGTTGATAGTGTCTATTAGATTGAGAAGCTATACTTCGGTCCCACTGTAGCTCAACCCATCTCCATTTTGAGATGTAATATATTCTATGGTTCAACTGGAGAGTCCATTGTTGAATATAGACTTGCAAAAGAGGGCCTGAAAAATCCTACCTCGACCCTGTGAGGAAAAGAGATTTCTGGAGGGCGAACTCGAGCCATGCACCTTGGGAAATTAAGTCAGTCAAAAGAAAGATATCTATGATATGAATATCTGGAAAACCCCACATAACCTCAGGTCTGGCTCACAGGCATGCTCTCATAGCCAGCCAATTAAGTGTGAAATACACCTCAGAAAATAGAAAACAAAGTGGATTGCTGCTATCTTACTGGTCTTGCCTCAGCCGTAACTCCTCAAGTGGCCATTGAGAATCTGCAGAGATCTCCAAAGGCTTCAGCGCTTCCAAACTTCATGCGAACAAGGCGATAATGAATGTTTTGACCCAATACATGGCTGCTTTTATAAAAAGGTGCAATGTGTAAGATTTGAATACATATTGCAAACTAATAGGGGGCAGCATTTCCCCTCTGCTACTGAGTCCATACAATCTAAATGTACAGTCATCAGTTGTTAAATAAAGCAAACTAGTAAGCAATCGCAGGGCAAGAGTGCATAATCCTTGACTAAAAACTGCTATCGTTAATCACCTGTGTGTTTAATGTGCCACTAACTGGGAGCTATATGGTCTGTGATGTTGTGATAGTCTGATGGTTGGATTGAATCCAAAGTGGCAGAAATGGGAAAACGCCTCCGTTTGATCCTTCCCGCCACCAGAAGACTACTTTGCCAGGAGGAGAGTGGGTTGCTCTTGGAATTGGACATGAAGTTGGCAGCTGTGTAGCAATTAGCTTTCAGCTAACGCAAACAGTGGGCCTAACCTGTTTGTTGATCCGTTGAGGAGTCGAGGCCGTCGCCCTCGGGATCAGAACCCCGGATCAGGCCCCGGGCGCTGGGGTTCACGCTGGCTGAATTCAAGCTAACTTTGAGCTGCCACCTGCGCTCCTCTCTGCAAAGTCTTCTTGTAGCGGGGAGGACGGAACGAAAATACAAGTTGCTTTCTTGTTTCGGCCATTTTGGATTTACTCCAATAAAGAAACTATCAAAACGTACACGGACCCATTTGAAACTACATTTGAAATGAAGTGAACACAAAGCAGGAGGGAATGCATTCGTACGTAACTAAAGCCGAGCTTTGAAGTTTCAAATTACGAATAATTAGTACCTCAGACGCAGACTAGGGAACATTTGGAATTTGAATAGTGGGCACTGTGAACACATGCAATACACAGGTGGTCAAGCAGGAATGAGGTGTACCAGTGACCTGGTTTAAGATGCTGACCGTGTATTCACAACCCCCATGGATAGAGTTTGACTGGGGGCCTTCCTGGCACTACAACCAGACAAAAAAGAAAGTTGCCACACAACCTGAGGCTGTGTTTTTTAATGCAGAGCTATCGTCGCTCTGACTGCACAACACAGTCTCACGGCAGTTCATGAAATTCTCACAAAATGCAATCTATTGGTTTCGTGCTGAGCAACACGAATTGTCCGTTTCTTTTTTGTCGCTCGGCACAACTTCACATGCAACCTCGGTCTATATTGTGTAACTCTAACTTGGGGGGGCTGTACAATCTGTGTACGTTTTGCTAGTTTGTTTAGCGGACTGCCCCAACTCTCTGCTAGATCAGCAAACATTCTGCTGCACCCTCTGCAGAGGTTGGACCCAACACCATCACTGGTCACAGGTCGAACAAAAATTCTGGCGACATGTCTCTTGCATCTTTAAAGGTTCAAGTTGGCGATGTATTGTATTATTTCAAATCCAATGTGACAAAAAGGGAAATATGTCCCCGTCCAAACACTTACTGACCTCACTGTGTCCCGGCTAGATGAAGCAAGGTTCACCTCCCTCTATGCCCGTATAGCGCTGTAATAAATAGCCCACATCAGAGTGGATAGATAGCTGTGGACTACACAGTAAACGTGTCTCAGAGCAATTACATGGAAAACAATCTCCCGTTAGAGGACCCCCATTTTATGGCTGAACATCCACCTGATTGATAGCATGTGATTTAAAGAGCATACAAACACGCGCGTGCACGCACGCACGCACACATACATACACACCCGCACACACACACAGTATTTGCTAGAGAATTGCAAAGAATACGAGACTTTGGCCATCAGTAAAATGATTGAGTGGGAAGTGACTCTACATCTGTAAATGTTTACAGCTGTAACATATCAGAGCATAATGAAGTCATATAGAATATCCCTATAATGAGCATTTCACTGATGGCAGTAGACACTAGACCCAGGGATAAAAAAATGTATTTTTCAGGCTGAAAATTCCCCGCTGTGTTAGGACACTAAAAAGGTCAGTTGTCTGTGAAGGCAGAAATAATACTGTACCGAGTTCTGTATGAGAGGACGTGCCTACCTGTGGCTATAGTGTGCACATTCACAGCTAACCCATCATTCAAACACCTTTCTTTCTGGGAGATACCTTGAAGGAGTTAAGAGAGAATCTTAACTTCATTAGCTGGCAATTAGCTAATTAGCTAGTTTGAATTAATCTCCAAAGCCTCACAACACCACACCGCACGAGAGAAATACCAACGCTCAAGGGTATAAATATTAGCCGTTTATGTTTGTATATGTTGAGTGATTGTAAGGCAGTTAAACAGACAGATTTTAATACAGATTTTCCAGTGTAAAACATCACTGAATGACGCTGGTGACAGTTGTTCTTGATGTGGGGGTGGTGCAGTAGAGCAGCGTCTCTCCAACTAAATCTGAGCCGAGCCTAAATGAAACAGTTGGCTATTAACGGGGCGGTTATTTACCCAACGATACCTGGGGATTCAATCCAATACGTATAGTCTATAGATGTACAGATAAGTAATATCCGGTCCCTGTGTTGAGTCACTGATCCACTTAAACGGGAGAAGACTGGAGGGGCACGATGGGGATCAATAGTAATTTATTAAGGTTGATCTGGGGCTCAAAGACTCTTTGACTCGCCCATAAACGTCCAAGTCTGTAGATAAAGACACCGCCACACACTTCTAGTGGATCATAAGTGATATTGTACAAGTCTATACATTGTTTGGTTTTGTCTGACTAAAAAAGACAAACTTTTCTTTGTAATACCATCCAGAAAAATAGGGTCATCCATCTAGAAGTCAGTGTAAACCGTCAACAATTCTAAATGTTATTCTTTTACATTATTATTCATTATAGTGGTTATTTGCATTAAAAGAAACTTGGCATTGGGATAACGAGGTTTGGTCGTAAGCTTCAAACTACGAGGCTCCAGGTACTCCTCTAGGTATACATGGTAGGCGCTACATGTCAATATGCGCTTGTTACATGCATAGTGTCTTTTCTAAATAAAATTCCATCTTCACAGGAAGTTAGGTTTAGGTAACAAAACCACTTGTGGTTAGGAGAACTAAGTGATAGACATTAACTTGACTGAGGGAGAACTGACATCACATGGCTGTTTCTCGGTGAGAGACCAGGGTTTACTGATCGGTGCGTGCAAGTTACCACACACCTGAAAACAGACTCCGATGTGTAAAATCGGTGGAATTGCCCTTTAACATTGACTGACTGGCAGCTTAGACTGTGCTTTCCATTAGCTAATGGCTCTGCAACACTGGGCCTTCATCTGAGCTTGATGAAGAAGCTCTGAATGAGGCACAGTGTTGCCAAAAGCATCTTCACAGCAGAAGTGCTGCTGCTTTTGGCCTCCTTTCAAGGTACACGACTACATTCAAGTTATACTGTCCACCAGGAAACATTAGGCTGCTCTCTGCCTTCTGTTTAGGAACGCCCAGGACGTCTGCGTGAATGCAATCTGGATGAAAGGGGTCAGCAATATCTTACAACTGACAACGCGCTTCCCAACGGAGAGTACTGTCGCTGGATGATGAATCAAAAGCTCCCACTTCAAAAAGGACCCGCAAAGACCTGGCTTTGATGTTTAACTGCAGCAAAGAAGATTCCAGATCAGTGCTGTGGACCTCCACATGATTCACCACATGATTCACTGGTTACTCTTTCACACTATTCAGACCCCTTCACTGTTTTCACAAGTCGTGATGTTCATTTTTGTTACCAATGATCAATCTACACTCAACACCCCATTATGACAAAGCCAAAATAGGATTTCAGATTTGTTTGTTTTGTACAAATGTATTAATATGAAACATATTAGATATCATGATATACTGACCTTTGGTCAACTAAAATTCAAATTACTACAACATGTCAGGGGATCACTTTATATGAAGCCTATGTTTATAATGCATTATATACATTCTTATAATGAGTTACAGGCTGCTTATATAACTGTATAATTGCCATTATAAGCATAAATATCCATAATGCTTTATAACAATCATGACAGATTATAAAGAGTTATATAATTACTTACAATTTCAAGTATCATAATACTTGCTAATAATGCTGGTCACTAACTGACTTCTTTGTAAGGATCATATTGTATTACGATCTTTGTACAGCGAAGCAGGTGGAGATGATCTTACCGATCTTCTTACAGCGCTCCTCTCCTCTGTTGTGCATGATGATTGGAGAGTAGATGAAGGGGCTGGCGGTGGACATGTTCTGTCCCAGCAGGCCTTTCACTTTGTGAGGACGCAGACTGACGGGCAGGTTGAGGAGCTTCACTGATCTAGTTTGGGCATCACAGGAGGAAAATAAAAAAAGCACAACAATGACATGAGTTAGTCTCATTCCCCCACACGGATTAAAGGACCATTTCACAGCAAAGACGATCAACTCACCCTCATGTCAAGACAGAAACTGGAGACTTTTTGTTATGCACTTTGCACGATAAGTTAGTTGTTGTATCTTTAGAGTTACAACAGCTTATAAAGTATAATCCACGTGTATAAATAAATAAGGTTTATAACACTGTTACAGGGTCAGCAAACCAATAAAAGCAGAGAAACAGACACTTGAGAGTGAGTGCTCCTTAACTTTAGGGACCACGAGCTATGAATTCATTCACAGATGCATCGTCAATGTAATCTAGTAGACAAAAGGAACCCTCGGTTCTGTAGGAAAGTTACTGTTGCTCATTTATACGTCAAAACAGCATTTAGTTAAAATCAAAGTATATGACCAGACTTAGATTCAGCAAATACTGCGCCCAATAACAAAGGACTGGCATCACCATAAGGGCCGAAAATACTTCAGAGGGACACGAAAACACAGTGAGCAGCTGTTTTTAGCTGTAAATTATTTTGTGTTTTAGTTTTTAGAAGCCAGTTTTTTTTATACATTTAGTGTACGAATGTCACATACAGGCTAGAGAAATGTTGGATGTTTTTCAACCATACCAAAAGAAAACAAATCCAAATGTACCCGATAAGCCTAATTTCAATATTGACATTAAAAAGCACTGATTATATATTCAGGTGTTTGTTATCCAATCACTTAGAACTACTGACTAACCTTTATGTGCCAATGGTATAACTACTCCAAGTTCATCATTTGGATGATATTTTACAAATTTATAAATTGAGTCCAACATGTAACGTGAAAGTAACAACCAGCCGTCACGCTCCTGTCTTACCGGACGATGGGGAGCTTGGTGAAGGCCACCGGGGGGAGCTTCAGGCCATTGGGGAGCGTGATGACCTCCATTCCACCCGGACACTTGGACGTGTAGTTCTCCAGACTCTGGGTCACCTCTTTCTTCTCTATAATATGTACGAGTACATAACAGTAGCAAAATCAATGAGCACATGGCAAAAGACTGTGTGTGTGTGTCTGTATGTATATACACACACACACACATACATATACACGTACACACACACACAC